TGACATAACCATTACTCCACCTGCTGGTCCCCCCCCCCCTTTTTTTATTTTAAGGAGGTTTTTGCCTTAGGGTGCCTGTGTTCTCTGGAGATAAAAAGAGACAGAGACAGTAAGAGAGAAAGTGAAAATCACACCCCTCCCCCCATGGGGATGGCCATGCCGCAATCCCTTCTCTAGTCTCCTTTTGGGATCTTGGGCACGCGTAATTTTCAAGCCACTGGGTTCAGACTGGAATTGTGGTTGGCCATGTGGGAGTTCAGCAACATAACTGTTATACCATCTGCCGCCCCCCATCCAAATTTTACAAATAAATAAATGCTGGAGGAATTTATTTTGTGAACAAACCAGTAAACTAATAAATATTGGAGAGAAAATTAAGTACTCCAATAAGGGCTCTCTATAGAATTCCTATAGACTCCAGCTAGTATGTAAAGAATGAATTTGTATCAGATAGTTGATACATTTTTCAATTAGAATGTTACTAATTTTGTGATCCCTATTAGAAATAATGGATCTAGGGAACCAGGAGTTAGCGTAGTGGCTATGTCGCTGGATTCCCACGTAGTCGACCGCTGTTCGCGTCCTGGACCCGGTGGCTTAAAACTCACGCCGGGCGTGTGTGCATGCGTACCCAAGATCCCGAGAGGAGAATGGAGGAGAAGGGATTGCAGCATGACCATCCCCCCTGGGGGTGATTTCTCGCTTTCTGTCTCTATGTCTCTCTCTGTCTGTCTGGTGAGCGCATGTGCCCTATAGTGAAAACCTCTCCCCCCCCCCCCAAAAAAAAGAAATAATGGATCTAAGCCTCCTGAGAACATACCACCACCACCTGTTAACTCTTACCAGAAAGTCTAATCCAATCTGATTAAGCCTCTAGGCTAGATTCAGTTATGGATCTATAGTAAATACAGGATGCAAGCAACAAATCCAGATTGTGGGAAACTTTGTAGGACAAATAACCTGGTTTCTTCAGTAAATAAATTGCAAGAAAAGAATGGGCTAGTCAGAGCAGAGAGTGGTAGAACAATGGTTGTATAAATCGAGAAAGATGTAAGAGATACATTGACTAATACAAAGTGTGAACCTCACTTGTATCCTAAATCAAAATGTAAAAAAATCATGAACCCGGCCCAGCAGTTAGCGTAATGACTATGTCGCTGAACTCTCATGTAGCTGACTGCGGTTCAAGTCCCGGACCCGGTGGCTTAAACTCACGCCAGGTACGTGTGCATGTGCGTGCGTGCCCAAGATCCCAAGAGGAGAATGGAGGAGAGGGGATTGCAGCGTGGCCATCCCCCCTGGGGGGTGATTTCTCACTTTCTATCTCTCTGTCTCTCTCTGGCCTCCTGGTGAGCACATGCACCCTATAGCAAAAAAACCTCTCCAAAAAAAAAAAAAAATCATGAACCAAGAAACATGAGACTACTGGAAATTTAAACACTGACTGCATATTTAATGCAGGAATTTGTGTCTCATTCAAAGGTGGAGTAAAACATCATGCTGTCTAGATTCAGTCATAATATACTTTTCCTAGGGAGATGTCATTATGAGCATGCCATGCCTCTTACTAAGAGTAATCTTTTTCATCTGTGTCATATTCGTTTTCAAATTGTTTTTCTTGTGTTAAAGGTATTTGATAGCAATCGACAGAAGAGGTGGCCCTTCAGTAGCCAAAGAAACTGTTAAACTTGCTGAAGAGTTCTTCCTTTCCACCCAGGATACAGTTCTTGGCCTTGACCTCAGTGGAGACCCTAATGTAAGTTCTTTTTCCTGAATGCATTTTATTCTCAAAGTAGAATTGCTCAGGTAAGGATTAGCTTAGCGCATCCTACATTCTCCAAGGCCCTATTTGCCCCTTGATGAACAGAATGTCTGCAGCAGCTGTTCTCAGTCAAGTTCCGTGAAAGAACTAGGCACTCAAATAAAAACATGTATGTTTGCCTGACTGTATGACTATTTTCTCCAGTTTTCTAAAGATGGTGCACAGCTAGTACCAGCCTGTGTGCACAGGAGAGGAGTTAATTCATTGCGTACAATGGATACTTGTCTTTGGGAATTAGGGCTTAATTTTATCTTACAGAAATCAGTTGACAGTGGTTATCCTGAGCTTCTCAAATGTCAAATTGAAGCAGAAATCTTGATATTTGGGGCCAGATAATTATTTGTTATGGAGGCTACCTTGTTTATTGAAGGATATTTAGCAGTATAGATGCCAGTAGCATCCTCCCAATTGTGACAATCAAAAATGTCTCCAGATATTGCCAGCCATCCCCAGGGGATCAGGATCTTCCCTGGTTGAGAACCTCTGAATGAGAAAGCCCCATGAAGCCGTCTTCTGGCTTTGTCTAAACCTGGGCTATTCCGCTCTTATTTTCATCTTTCCATTTAATGGGTGGCCTTTAGTTTTCTTTTGTTTTAAGAGGTTTTTTTTCCTTAGGGCATATGCATTTGCCAGAGAGAGACAGAGACAGTGAGAGGGAAAGTGAGAAATCACTCCCCCAGGGGAGATGGTCATGTCACAGTCCCTTCTCCTTCATTCTCTTCCCAGGATCTTGGGCACACATGTGCATGCATCCAGTGTGATTTTTAGCCACTGGGTCAGGCACTCAAACTATGGTTGGCCATGTGCGAGTCCAGTGATGTAACAGCTATGCCATCTGCTGGCCTGGTGGTATTTTTTTTAGTAGTCACATGAGTTCCTAAATCAAGTGAGTTCTCTTTGGCACTAGAAATCTAGGTGTCCTTTCAGAGATAAATCTGATGGCTGCTCTATCTACCTTAGTTGGTTGACCTTGGGTTCACTAACACTGGACTTTCATTCTTGAGAGCAGGGACTGTGCCTTTGCCAGCCTTTCCCTCAAAGTATCTAGCACATTGTAGGTGCTTTTATAAATAAATGCGCGAATCAGTTTGCCTTTTTTTTTTCTATTGTATTCCTTTGTTTATTGAAACAGAATACTCAGTTTCTTAGTTTGCCCAGAATTTCCATATGTCCTCATTTTAACTTTTCTTTTTAAGATAGGACAAGCAAAAGACTTCCTGGAACCTCTTTTAGAAGCTAAAAAAGCAGGTCTGAGGTTGGCATTGCATCTTTCAGAGGTAAATAATATTGTCTTATGCCAGAAAGAGTAGATTATGATAGAGTAGATTATGATAGAAAATAAAATAACACAGACTTTTGTAAATTATAAATAACTAGAAATAAACCTGTCTTAGAAAAACAGCTTTTTTTTTTTTTTTTAATTTTGCAAAAGGGCATGTGACCAAAAAGATACAAAAGGGAGAGAGCCACCCCGAATGGGGCATGGCCATGCAGCAGTCCCTTCTCCATCTTCATCTTGTTGGGATTTGGAGCACTTATGCACACGTCTGGCATGTTTTCCAAGCCAGCAAGGCTGGGATGCAGTTGGCCATGTGGGTTCTGACTCTCTTAACCACTAGGCCTTGGAGAGGGCCAAAAAAAAATTTTTTTTAAATTTTTTCATAGAGACATTTTTGCCATAGGGCACATGTGCTTGCCAGAGAGACAGAGAGGACAGAAAGCAAGAAGTACCCCTCTGGGGGGGAAGTGGCCATGCCACAATACCTTCTCCTCCATTCTCCTCTTGGGCACGTATGCACACACGCTCAGCATGAGTTTTAGCCACCAGGTCTGGGACTCAAACCATGGTTGACTACACGGGAGTACAGCAACGTAACCATTACTCCATCTACTGGTCCCTAGAAAAACATTTTTAAAAGGAGAAAGTAGGGGCTGGCTGCCTACATGGGGACGTTCTGGTTCCTCATCTGGAGACTTCAGTGAATATGCCGGCCTGCAAGTGCTCATGATCTGGGGCAGACTGAGGCAGAGAGTGGACCATGGTGTCAGGACCCTGTTGGGGTTGCTGTTTCTCTCTCTTGTTTGCTCATGAAAGAAGTAAGTAAATAAGGTTTTTTTTGTTTTTTGTTTTTTGTTTTTTCCTTAAAAGAAAATAGAAATATTTAAAAATGTAAATTAAAGCGATAAAGGCATGACTTACTTTAGTCTCTGGTGTTAGTGTTTTTCTCTTTCTGTAGTTCACAGGCATGGTTATTGGCTTGAATTCCAGCTGTGTCATTAATGACATCTTACTAGTGAAAATGCATACATGTCCATCATCAGCCTTGTCATTTGCAAGCTGACCATCCACTGTTCTCATAGTGGATGGGACCAGGCATGCACTGGCAACAAAAGAACCATCTCATCCTTATTTTATAAGGCTCAGGAAGGAGATTTGGGGTTCTTCATCAACCTCAGCTCCCTGCCAGCATGAGCACAGTGACAGAGAATGTGCAAATAATGACTAGAAAACCATCATTTTCTTTAAAAATATTCTTTTTCTTTAAGTTTTTGCCATAGGGCGTATGTGCTCACTAGAGAGAGGAAAGTGAGAAATCACCTCTGGAGATGGAGTTGGCCATCTTGCAGTCTCTTATCCATTCTCCTCTTGAGATTTTGGGCACATAAACACACATACCTGGCATGATTTTTAAGCCCCCTGGTCCAGAACTCAAACCATGGTTGGCCATATGGGAGTCCAGTGTATTAACCACTGTGCCACCTGCTGGCCCCCAAAGCCATCAGTTTCTTATACACATCCCTATGAGGCAAACAGGGAATCTGTAGCACTCTTCTTCATTCTATGGATGGATTTACTTTCTACCTCATTATTTTTACCTATTTAATTGTTTCATAAATGCAGGAAGTAATACTTGCTCTACTTAACCTCATAGCATTATTACTGACTCTTAAGTGGGGTAATGCATAAAGGTTGAGTATCATCATGATGTAAAGATTAAGGAAAAAAATTGGAGGACCAGAAGGAGTTGTGGTGGTTAAGGCACTGGACTCCCACATGGCTGAACACTGTGGTTTGAACCCCAGACCCAGCAGCTTGAAAATCAAGCTGGGCATATGTGCATGTGTGCATGCCCAAAATCCAGAGAGGAGAATGGAAGAGAAGGGCTTGCAGTGTGGCCTTACCCCCGGAAGGTGATTTCACACTCTCTTTCTTACTGTTTGGCGAGCACACATCCCTGACAGCAAAAATCTAAAAAAAGAAAATTGGCATATCTGCCAATACTTGGGTCTTAGATGCGCACAAGCAGAGGGCCTGTGATCTAGTTGCAGATCTTAAAATCTAGGCACTATTTCTATATTCTGAAGAAAAAGAAGTTTCACTCAAAGGACACCCTCTATCTGACCTGTGTGTCCAGTAGAAGCCTATTGGTTGAAAAGATGGAACAGCATGTAACTCTGTGACCAGTTATCTCTGGCTTTGTGCACAGCGTCAGAGCTTGTTCTTTACGTTAGTTTTTTGTTGCTTTTCTTGTTTGATCGATTGGCTATCAAACATTTCATTTAGAAATGTTCTGATCATTTATTTTTTGGGCTATCTAGGAGATAAAGAGCACAGCTAAACACTTTCAGGGTGATTGTATAGCTAGCTAGCCTTGCCAAAATAAAATAAGAGCACAATGTGTGAACACACTGTCTGGGCCCTGGAGTCAGATGGAGTTATGTTTTGCTCTTATCTCCACCATTCACTAGCTCTGTGACCTTGGAGAACTTTTTTTAAAAGTACCTTCTTGGGTCCTGTATCTAGAGTGTGGTTAAGGCACTAGACTCCCACATGGAAATCTGCAGTTCAAGTCCTAAACCTGGTGGCTTGAAAAATCATATTGGGGGGACCAGCAGTTAGCGTAATGGCTATGTCGCTGGACTCCCACGTAGTCGACCGCGGTTCGCGTCCCAGACCCGGTGGCTTAAAACTCACACCGGTCACGTGTGCGTGTGTGCCCAAGATCCCGAGAGGAGAATGGAGGAGAAGGGATCGTGGCGTGACCATCTCCTCTGGAGGGCGATTTCTCGCTTTCTGTCTCTATGTCTCTCTCTGTCTGTCTGGCGAGCACATGCGCCCTATAGCGAAAACCTCTCCAAAAAAAAAAAAATCATATTGGTACATGTGCATCTGTGCCAAAATTGCAGGAAAATGGAGAAGGGATTGTGGTGTGCCCAAGAGGGGAAGTGATTTCTTTCTATCTCTTTCTCTCTCTGGTGAGCACATGCACCCTATGGAAAAAAAAAAAAAAGTACCTTCTGTGCCGGCCCAGTAGGTTAGTGATTAAGGGAGCTGGATTTCACATGGCTGACCACAGTTTAAGCCCTGGACTGGTTGCTTGAAAAACATGCCAGGCATATGTATACATGTGTCCAAATCTTGACAAAGTGAAGAAACTGGAGGAGAAGGGATTGTGGCATGAACATGCCCATTGGAGGATGGTTTCTTTCTCTCTCTGTTGATCCATCTCTTGCTGGCAAGTGCGTGCACCCTCTGGCAACTAAAAAGAAATAAATAGGGCCAGCACAGTGGCCTGATGGGTGAAGCAGCTGGATTCCACATTGGTTCAAGTTCTGGACCCAGTAGTTTGAGAAACATATTGGGCACATGTGCACGTGTGCCCAAAATCTGGAAAGGAGGGAGAGATGGAAAAGGGATTGCAGCATGACCATTCCCCATAGGGGATGCCTTTTCTTTTTTCCCTCTCTTTGTATGTCTGGTAAGCACATGTATCCTCTAGCAAATAAATAAATAAAATTTAAAATAAATAAGTAAATATGTTTTCTAATTTTAACCGTAAGTTATATGTACCAGAAGAAAATCTAGAGAAATACACAGAAGGAAAAACTTAAAAATGAAAGTCCCTTTCCTATTTCATTTCCACTCTCCAGAGTTAATATTATTAATAGTTTTATGTTTATATTTTTCCAGACTTTTTTCTAGTATGGTGTATATGAGCACTTATACACAACGTAGGGCACATATACTATATACAGATAGAGTTGTGGGTTTGTTTTGTTTTTTAAATAATTTTTCTGAGTTTTAATTTCTTTAGAGGTTTTTGTATAGGGCATGTGCACTTGCCAGAGACAGAGACAGTGAGAGGGAAAGTGAGAAATCTCCCAGATGGCCATGCTGTAGCCACTTCTCCTCTATTCTCCTTTTGGGATCTTGGGCATGTACATACATGCACCCAGAGTGAGTTTCAAGCCACTGAGTCTTAACATCCACATGTGGAAGTCCATGAAGTAACCACTTCGCCATCTGCTGACCCCTTCTGAGCTTTAACTTCATCTAAACGCTTTATAAGACCCTTAGGGAGCCTTAAAGAAGTCATGTGAAAGGCATACAGAAGGTTTTTTAAAATTTGCTGTAAGACACATGAACTTGATGAAGAACATCCCCATAGGGGGATGGCCATGCCTCAATCCCTTCTTCGTTTTTCAGTTGGAATTTTGGGCATACATGCACATGTGCACCCATTAAGCCACTGGGTCTTGAACTCAAACCACACAATTGGCCATGTGGGATCTAGCCACCTTAACCACCATGATACCCACTGGCACATAAAGTGGGCTTTTAAGAAATATTCATTATTATCATTGAAAGTAATCTAGAAGAATGTTGGAGAATTAATTAGAAGATAAAGGTGGGGCCCAGCAGGTGGCATGGTGGTTAAAGGCACTGGACTCCCAGTGGTTCGAGTCCTAGACCTGGCGGCTTGCTCTCTCACTTTCCCTTTCTCTCTCTCTCTGGTCAAATTTAAAATAATAAGGGGCCAGCATGTGGTGTGGTGGTTGGGGATGCTGGGCTCCCACATGGCCAACCGTGGTTTGAGTCTCAGACCTGGTGACTTCCTCTCTCTCTCTCCCCTGTCAAGTTAAAATAAGTGAATAAATAAATAAATAAATAAAGTTAAATAAAATAATTCTGAATTTTGTTTCAAATGATAATAATAGCAATAACAAATGGAATTAAATAAATAATTCTTTAAAATAATTTTACTTAACTTTATTACTATTATTATTATTTTTCAATTTGATCAGACAGAGAGAAAGTGAGAGAACAAGACACTAGGCCCAGGACTTGAACCGCGGTTGGCCATGTGGGAATCCAGAGCCTTTAACCACCTCACTACCTGCTGCTCCCATAAAATAATTTTTTAAAAAAGATGATGAAGGCAAAGACGAGAGCTTGGAATGTGTAAGTAGTTCAGCATTAACTACTCAGAGAGACAAAGTACCTAGCTATAGAAAAAAAATAATTTAATAACCACTGAAAGAGGTCATTGATCCCCTCTTCCTCCTTTTCTTAAGATTCCAAACCAAAAAAAAGAAACACAAATGCTCTTGGATCTGATTCCTGACAGAATTGGGCATGGGACATTTCTTAATTCCTCTGAGGGAGGATCCCTGGATCTGGTGGACTTTGTGAGACAACACCAAATACCACTGGGTAAGGCTAAGGGTTTCAGGTCTCCTGAACAACTCTCTGTCCCTTTCTTCTCCAACTCCCAGGTGACAGCTCATATGTAGAGAAGTACTGTTCTAAAGATATAGTTCAGAAATTAAAACGTGCATGGTTCGTGTACTTTCTGAGCCTCACCGAAGTATCAGAAAATTTCAGTTCCCATTAGAATGTAAACTCCATGAGAGCAGGGTCTATGCTATGTTATTCATTGCTGTGTTCCCTAGTGCTTGGAGCTCAGCGAGTATTTACTGAAGGGATAGATAGGGGTCATCTAGAATTTTGAAATTATTTTAACCAAATTAACATGTGTTATAAAAGTGTGTAAGATTATTTTTTTTTTAAGAATTATATTGGGACAAGCAAATGGTCTGGTCCCCCAGACCAGTCCAGACTACTGGATTCCCATGTAGTTAATTGCCATTTGAGTCCCGGACCTGGCAGCTTAAAACTCACACTAGTTGCTGTGTGTGCGTGCCCAAAATCTCTAGAGGAAAATGGAGAAGAAAGGGTTGTGGCATGGCCATCTCCCCTGGGGAGGTGATTTCTCACTTTCTGTCTCTCTATCTCTGTCTCTGGTGAGTGCACACACCCTATAGCAAAAATCTCTGTTTAAAAATAAATAAATAGGGGCTGGCAGATGGCATGGTGGTTAAGGGCACTAGACTCTCACATGGCTGACTGTGGTTCAAGTCCTAGAACTGGCAGTTTGCTTTCTCACTTTTCCTCTTTCTCTCCCTCTCTCAATCTCTGATTCCGTCCCTCTCTGGTCATATTTTAAAAATAAGTAAATAAATAAAGTTAAATAAAATAATTATTTTTTTAAAAATTTGACAGCATTTAAAATAAAATAAATAAATAAATAAATAAATAAATAGAATTATAGGTGCTTGCCAGTGGCATAGTGGTAATGCAGTGTTCTGCAGTGCAGGACTCATATGAAAAGGACCTGGGTTTACATCCTGAGGCCTCCGTGTGTATGCTGGGTGCACTCACATGCTTGTGATCTCAGCTGGCTAGGAACCGATCATGGTATGAAGACCCTATTGGGGCTGCCTGCATTTCTATCTGCTCTCTCATGGAAGACACATGAATAAACTTAAAAGACATTTTAAAAAATGATTATGGAAAATTCCAAGTATTTTTTATATGTCTGTTGATCATTACACAGTTGATTGTTTTTGTATTTATAAAGTGACTATTTTGTTGTAGTAACTGCTCTAATTGCTGAGAATAGAGAAGTAAACAAGACAGATAAGGTTTCTTTCTCAAGGAACTCATACTCTTACAGAGGGAAGACAATAAACAAATATATAAGAAAATATCAGTGTTATGAAAATATCAGTTTCTATGAAGAAAATTAAACTGGATAATACAATAGTGATAGATAACTGTTTTCTATTGTATGATCAGGGGAAGCACTTCTGAAGAGGGAATTCTAGAAGTGAATAGCTGAAAAACCATTTTACCAAATGATCATTTTGCTAAATTTACAAATTACCAGTTTACAAAAATGTGTGGGTATGTATTTTAATTGTTTATAGAGTCTTCAACAATTCATAATGGGTAAGATTTTAAAATTTTTACTAAAGAAATATTTTTTTTAGAGAAAGATTTTTGCTATAGGAAGCGTGTGCTTGCCAGAGAGACACAGAGAGAGACAGAGAAAGCAAGAAATCATCCCCCAGGGGGATAGCCACACCGCAATCCCTTCACCTCCAGTCTCCTCTTGGGATTTTGGGCACACATGCACATGCACCTGACATGAGTTTTAAGCCGCCAGGTCCAGGACTTGAACCGCGGTAGACTATGTGGGAGTCCAGAAATATAACCATTATGCCATCAGCTGGTCCCTTTACTACGGAAAATTTTAAACATCTACAGAAAAAAATGGAAACCACTTACATTGTGATTTTCTTTTATTATTATTACTTAAAAATGTATTTATTTCTCCATGAGTGAGAGTGACAGCACCCTCAGAGTGTCTTGATGTTGTGCTCCTTCCTGAGCTTCAGCCAACCCTGGATCATGGCACATGCCCAGCATACTCAAGGAAGTCTCTGGACAGGAACCTAGAAACTCCCCTGGGTTGAGCTTCACAGAGCATTGTGTTTTACTGTTGCACCACCATCTGGTCCCTGCATTGTGATCTTTCTTTCTTTCTTTTTTTTTTTAAAGAATTATTTATTTTTGGAGAGGTTTTTGCTATAGGGCGTGTGTGCTCACCAGACAGACACAGAGAAACAGAGGGCAAGAAATCACCCCCCAGGGGGGATGGCCACACCACAGTCCCTTCTCCTCCATTCTCCTCTTGGGATCTTGGGCACGCACGCACACACATGTGCCCGGCATGAGTTTTAAGCCACCCGGTCTGGGATGCGAACCGCGGTCAACTACATGGGAGTCCAGCAACATAGCCATTATGCTAACTGCTGGTCCTTCATTTATTTATTTTAATTCGACCAGAGAAGGACAGAGAGAGAGAGAGAGAGGAAAAGTGAGAAAGCAAGCCGCCAGGTCCAGGACCTGAACTGCATCCAGCCATGTGGGTGTCCAGCCCTTAAGCACCACACTACCTCCCGGCCTTCCCTGCATTGTGATCTTATTTGGTATGGTGGCTAGCTCTGCTCCCAGCAGAGGCAGTTAGGGGGCAGTTAAGGTTCATTATGCCTTGGACTAAGCAGTCCTGGCTGTCTTACCCAAGTGAGCAAATGCCATCAGTTAAGTCAATGGTGTAGAGCTTACCCTTGAACAACACAGGTTTTGATTTGTACAAGTCTACTTTTCTGTAGGTCTTTTTTCTTTAAATACCATTGATGGATATTCTCTTTCTTATGATTTTTAAAAATAATTATTTATTTAATTTTATTTATTCATTTATTTTTATTTGACCAGAGACAGACAGACATACAGAGTGAAAAAAAGTGAGAAAGCAAGCCACTAGGTCCAGGACTTGAACCATGGTCGGCCATGTGGGAATGTCCAGCACCTTAGCCACCAAGCCATCTGTTGGCCCTGATTTTTTTTTTTTTTAAAGGCCTTTGCTATAGGGCACGTGTGCTCACCAGAGAGACAGAGACAGAAAGTGAGAAATCATCCCCCAAGGGGGATGGCCACATCCCAATCCTTTCTTCTCCATTCTCTCAGGATCTTGGGCATGCATGCACACTTGCCTAGTGTGAGTTTTAAACTGCCAAGTCCAGGACTTGAACCACAGTTGAGGGAGTCCAGCAACATAACCATTATGCATCTGCTGGTCCCTCTTAGGATTTTCTTAATAGCATTTTTTCCTCAAATTTATTATAAGGATATATCAAATAATACACAGGTGAATACATTATACAAAATATGATTTGATTGAATGTTTATACTATCTTCTAGTAAGCAATAGACTATTAGTAGTCAAGTTTTTGGAGATGCAAAATTTTATATGCCCAAGATCCCAAGAGGAGAATGGCAGAGAAGGGATTGAGGCATGGCAATTCCCCATAGGTGATTTCTCACTGTCTCCGTCTTTCCAGCCAGCACACGTACCCTATAGCAAAAATCTCTCAAGAAAGAGATTTCTCATGTATATACTTGGTGAGCACTGAGTTCACTTATCTGCTTTTAATAAGAGCCTTTTTTCCTCTTTCATCTAGAACTCTGTTTGACCTCAAACATCAAAAGTCAGACAGTTCCATCTTATGATCGACATCATTTCGGATTCTGGTACAGCATTGCCCATCCTTCTGTGATCTGTGTAAGGTGTTTTGTATGAAGTATTTTGTTTTAGTCCAAGTTGCATTAGATTGGGCATTTACTACATAGCTTACTGTCCCATATGCCTGAGGATAACACCCAAGTAGAGGAGTTGGAAGGGATTGGGGCATGAGAGGCTACAAAGGGCCATGGGGACTCTGGACTGGCTCTACAAGAGGTCCTAGACAGTAGCTGGGGGAACTTCAAATAAAGGAACAAACAAAAAATACAATGTCCAGAACCCATTCCATGAAGTTCTGCTTCATTAGAGTCATGGGCATGGATACGTTTTAACATCTTCCTAAGTGACTTTAATATGCAGCCAGGGGTGAAACACTGCTCTGCTGGTTTCTTTTTTCTTTAAAATATTAACAGGTCTGTTTTGTTACAGATATACATAGATGCACTTACAGACCCCTATTTAGACTGTTGCAGGAAATGATAGTAAATAAGAAAATAGACTTCAAACAAAAAAGTTGTTCTTTTAAAAAAATAATTTCCTTATACGTTTTGAAATGTTTTTGTTTATATTGGCAGACTGATGATAAGGGTGTTTTTGCAACACACCTTTCTCAAGAATACCAGTTAGCAGCTGAGACATTTAATTTGACTCAGTCTCAGGTGTGGGAGCTGTCTTACAAATCCATCAACTACATCTTTGCTTCTGAAAGCACCAGATCTGAACTGAGGAAGAAGTGGAATCATCTGAAGCCCAAAGTGTTAAATTCGTAAGCTATAATGAGAACTTTTGACTATGTGTTGTGTCCAAGATCTCCCTGCCATATTCCACTTAGGAAACCATCCACTATACCCTTTGAAGTATAGCAGTCAAGTACCATGAGTTCTAACACCAGCACCTACATGTGGGAGGTACTTAGGAAATAACGTCTTCATTGACAAGCAGGCTCTGAGGTCTTCCATAGTTCACCACCATGCAATCTACTGGACTTGAGTGTTGTTGTTAACTAAACTTCCCATTCTATCAGTGGTTTTATGACTTGGAAGTCCTTCCCTATTGGTGATTATAAAACTTCAGGAAAATTAGGATAATTACTCATCAGGGAAAGTTTGGGCCAAGAGTTGTGCAATTGTCCTGGAATATGGTTTTAGTGCCTACACTAAAGTTTCTCTCAAATGTTGCTTCCTCGTTACTATTTAAAACTCTCAAATGCCAGCTTTGGGCAACCAGAGATTTGTGAGGCCTAAGAAATACTCAGGTGCTTGGTGGTGGGTCCTTAGTATGAATTATTGGAATGTAGATCTCACTATATAGAATGGAGGTGAATGTCTTTTAGTTTTGTACTGTATTTAGGGAAGAAAATCAATAAAATATTTCTAAATTGAATTCTGCTTGTTATTTGAGAAGCTTTTTGTAAGAAACTTAAAAATAACTTCCCTAATTTACCTATTAGGTTATATAAGTTGAAATGATTCTCCCTAGGAATCAGTGTATTTTTAAAATTTTCCTACCTTACTCTTCTCTTATTTTGATCAAAATGGAGGTCTGCTGGCCAGACCCTTCTTGAGCTCTGAGATCCTTGGCATTTCTGTTTCTAGTCTTTAGACTTCCCAGTTGTTCTAAAGTTTTATTTCTGAAAGAGTCCCACAGTGGATGTAGTAGGAAAGGAGGAATTTAGGCTCCTGAAATTTATATATGTATAATTTATAAGTTAAAATTACAACATATTTATAATATATAAATATATATAAATTTCTGCACTGTGGGGCCAGCCCCTGTATGTCAAAACTTTGAGACACGCATGTCATTAGATAGCCATTTGAGTGTATAGGGATAAAATTTCACTTTACACTTTGAATTGTATAATGAGAAGAGAACTGATCCATCTTTTCATTCTTATGACAGCTACTCTATCACATCTGGTCATTATAAACACAGTGCTATATACAGTTGACAGGACCCAGCCTCTATACTCATTTATAATAAATGAGAAATTGCATTAACATAGAGAATGTATATAAATGTTAAGTTCTGTGGCACTGGCCACAGAGAGCAAGCAATAAGAGGAAGAATAGGGCCAGCTGGGGGGTGTGGGATCTGTCTTACAAATCCATCAACTACATCTTTGCTTCTGAAAGCACCAGATCTGAACTGAGGAAGAAGTGGAATCATCTGAAGCCCAAAGTGTTAAATTCGTAAGCTATAATGAGAACTTTTGACTATGTGTTGTGTCCAAGATCTCCCTGCCATATTCCACTTAGGAAACCATCCACTATACCCTTTGAAGTATAGCAGTCAAGTACCATGAGTTCTAACACCAGCACCTACATGTGGGAGGTACTTAGGAAATAACGTCTTCATTGACAAGCAGGCTCTGAGGTCTTCCATAGTTCACCACCATGCAATCTACTGGACTTGAGTGTTGTTGTTAACTAAACTTCCCATTCTATCAGTGGTTTTATGACTTGGAAGTCCTTCCCTATTGGTGATTATAAAACTTCAGGAAAATTAGGATAATTACTCATCAGGGAAAGTTTGGGCCAAGAGTTGTGCAATTGTCCTGGAATATGGTTTTAGTGCCTACACTAAAGTTTCTCTCAAATGTTGCTTCCTCGTTACTATTTAAAACTCTCAAATGCCAGCTTTGGGCAACCAGAGATTTGTGAGGCCTAAGAAATACTCAGGTGCTTGGTGGTGGGTCCTTAGTATGAATTATTGGAATGTAGATCTCACTATATAGAATGGAGGTGAATGTCTTTTAGTTTTGTACTGTATTTAGGGAAGAAAATCAATAAAATATTTCTAAATTGAATTCTGCTTGTTATTTGAGAAGCTTTTTGTAAGAAACTTAAAAATAACTTCCCTAATTTACCTATTAGGTTATATAAGTTGAAATGATTCTCCCTAGGAATCAGTGTATTTTTAAAATTTTCCTACCTTACTCTTCTCTTATTTTGATCAAAATGGAGGTCTGCTGGCCAGACCCTTCTTGAGCTCTGAGATCCTTGGCATTTCTGTTTCTAGTCTTTAGACTTCCCAGTTGTTCTAAAGTTTTATTTCTGAAAGAGTCCCACAGTGGATGTAGTAGGAAAGGAGGAATTTAGGCTCCTGAAATTTATATATGTATAATTTATAAGTTAAAATTACAACATATTTATAATATATAAATATATATAAATTTCTGCACTGTGGGGCCAGCCCCTGTATGTCAAAACTTTGAGACACGCATGTCATTAGATAGCCATTTGAGTGTATAGGGATAAAATTTCACTTTACACTTTGAATTGTATAATGAGAAGAGAACTGATCCATCTTTTCATTCTTATGACAGCTACTCTATCACATCTGGTCATTATAAACACAGTGCTATATACAGTTGACAGGACCCAGCCTCTATACTCATTTATAATAAATGAGAAATTGCATTAACATAGAGAATGTATATAAATGTTAAGTTCTGTGGCACTGGCCACAGAGAGCAAGCAATAAGAGGAAGAATAGGGCCAGCTGGTGTGGTGGTGAAAGCAGCTGGATCCCACACCGTTGACTGCACAGTTCAAGTCTTAGACCTGGGCAGCTTGATACACATGCCAGTCATATGTATGTGCATGTCCAAAATCCTAAAAGGAGAAATGGAGACAAGATTACAGTGTTGCCATCTTCTTTAGTGGGTGTTTTCTCACTTTCTCTTTTTCTAGCAAGTGCATGTACTCTAACAAAATTAAAACAAAACAAGGAAGAGTGACAATATAGCGAAAATAAAAAAGAATAACAGATAGGACTGTCCATCTTCTAATACACACTTTTTGCTTCTTTTGCTGCACATGCCATTGTCGCTTCCCACAAAGGCTTTATGGATATTTAAAAAGTTAGGGGTGTAGAGATTCTCTTGTTCATTCCCCCAACAGTGGGCTTGGTTTCTTTTCTTAGAATATTTGAAGACTATTACTTCTTGCCTCTTCCATGCTCAGAAATCGCAGATCGGGCAGCACTGAATGGTTCGTTGACTAGTTTCAGATGAACTGGGTTTTCACTTGGTAAGAGTTTTCCCTGACCCTCTTCTTTTTGTACATATTCTTCACCTGAAAGAAATGATCTTGGGTCTTTTAAAAAAAGTCTTATTCCCCATGCTCAATTGTCCTTGGTCCTGATGGCTTCAGATACCAATGATTTTCCTTCTGATTTCTTTGCCACATTCTAATTTGTGCCTGTACTTACAACTTAAAGATTCAGACAGGCTTAACTCTAATTACCCGACAAAAGGAGCCAAGAGAACAGGTGAAGATTTATCTTTCTCTACCATCAATAACTTAATTATAATAATTTTCATACATATAAACACTTAAAAAAAATATCAGACACTTCATAGATATAATCTTTTAATGTGGTATCCCTGAGAGGCAGATTAGGTGTAAACATTGTTCTGCTTTACAAAAAGGGAAATGGAGGCAGGCTGACTTACACAAGACATCTGGAACCAGAATTCTTACCTGTAGATAAACCTACCAGTGTTTTTTTCCACAAGACTGTACATATAGTAAAGACAATAATCTTTTTTATTTTTTGACATTAAGTCATGGTGTTCCTTATACCTTCCTGTCTGCTTAGGCAACATAATTGAGATACCATCCTCCCTCAATTCCTAATAAATGTTAGTAGATTCTTGGTATTAGGATCCTTTAGCACTAGAACCTTAATGAACCTCTTATCTAACATAGTGAGCTATGAATTATAGAATATTCTATTTACTTACTGTTCTGTCAGATCTCATTTTAGCCACAGGATTCTAATTAAATATGTATGTGAAAGAGCTATTTATCCCAGGCTTGGTTGATATGGTCATGTTCACCCTTCCTCTGACCTGCCCACTGAATTACCTTCAGCAGATAACTATCGTTTCTGGCCTTTGTTTCCCTCTCGTAGGAGCTAGTTCCCTAAAATTGCTTTATCCCCATTGCCAGTCAGCTGTTCCCTTATCAGTAAGTACACACAGTACCTGATTTACTGTTATGATGGATATACCACCTCGTCTGCCTTTGGCACTCCATGTTTTGGCCAAAGTGATTTTCTCCCTACTGCACAGCCCATATCATATGATTCCTCAGATTTTCTGCTGCTCCAACCTTTATCTAACCTTCCTTACAGTCTGTCCTTTGTCCTTTTCTCCAACTACACAAAACACCTTGCTCCCTGATTTTCTCATTCCTCACCCACCCAACACTCAGTTTTTTAGCTAGTTTTGCAAATATCATTCCATCCTGATTTACCCAATAACTTTCCCTCCCTTGAACACTTCCTGCTTCATGAAGCCTTCCTGAATAGAGAAGAAAATATCTCCCAGATTTTATATATAGCAAACTACAGTGCACTGGGGATCTTAATGTTTTTGTAAAATGTTATTTCTAGAGTTCTCTAAAACTGTTGTAACTATACATATGCACTTGTCAGTATCATTTGTTTTAGACTGTAAGGACAAGTACAGGGTCTGTTTAACTTATGCAGTACAGGGTTTGCCATCACTACTATGAACATATGACAGTTACTCAATACTATTGGACTATAAAGATCAGTAATTATACTTGTGTTTGATTGCTTTTAATTGTGTACAGTTGAGTGTGTGTGTGTGTGTGTCTAGAGTGGCAACTCTACTGACCAGAGATAATCCATCTTCCCTGCCATTGGGGTAAAGGGTAGTCGGGACAAGGTAGCCTGTGTTCCTGATACCTAGAAACATGGCAGTGGCTTCTGCTCACTGCAGTGTTGAGCACTCATGGGATACATAACACTGTACTAGGTATTTTGATTAGGTGGAATATGGATGAGTCCCTGTTGGCAACTCTCTCTTTCCCAATATCACATTCAGCTGGCTTTCTTTCTGGGTTTCTGGACTAGAATTTTATCATCTGATAAAATTCAGATGAGGTGGGAGAGAGAAAATCAAACTAGATACTAGAAATGTAATAGTCTGTTCTAACCCTTCTAGGTCTTGGAAGAAACTAAGAAACCCAAGGTTCCAATATTTATACGAGGTTTATATTTCCCTAAGAACAACAGGTTCTTGACAAGATGATTCACAGGACAGGTCTAAGATGGACATTGAAACCCTCTTTCTTTAAAGTAAATGAAGAGGATGTCTAACATCTATGTTACTCTGAGCATGAGGCTTACATGAACAAGAGGTTTTTTTTAAGCATTTCCATTACTATATAAGGAAAAGCCGGACCACTCAATGAATAGTCTTATAACTTCTTTCTAAAATGCTGCTGTGATGGTTTTTTTCAGTTGAAATGCAGCTGAATGACAGGATGCATAAAGAAAGATGTACATCAAATTCATAAGACCTACTCCTGTGTCCTTTCTGTTAAGGGAACATAGGCACTGGGAAGGAAAAGATAATATCTGTTAATTCAGATGCTGTCAAGAAGAAGGACTGAAATCTTCCTCTCATTCTAAGGCCTGCCTTGGGAATTTGACTCTAGGTTCGGAAGAAATATAAGGAACAAATAGTGGCATAGATCCTAAAGAGGATTTCCTAGGATAGTTGGGCACAGAACAGGAGATGGATCTCATTTTGGGAAGACTTTTCCAAAAAATACATTTATTGAAACTCTTCCTTTATTTTCAGGGGCTTACTTTGATGCTGACTGTGACAGAAGCTTTTCTCTTGTATGAATTTCTCGGTGCTTATTAAGGGCAGAGCTTTTACTGAAGCATTTGCCACAATCATGGCAACCATAGGGTTTCTCTCCCGTGTGGGTTCTGTGATGTGCACGTAAATCAGAACTCTTACTGAAACTCTTTCCACAGTCGGGACACACGTGGGGTCTCTCTCCTGTATGTATCCTCCTATGTGCACTAAAATGAGAACTGTTATTGAAGCTTTTTCCACACTCTTCACATTGATAGGGTTTTTCTCCTGTGTGAGTTCGCTGGTGAATTATAAGGCTTGAACTCTGATTGAAACGTTTTCCACACTCACGACACTGATACGGTTTCTCTCCTGTGTGGATTCTCCTATGAGTGATGAAATTTGAACTGTCACGGAAGCTTTTCCCACAGTCAAGACACTGATAAGGTTTCTCTCCAGTGTGGATTCTCTGGTGTCTAATGAGGCGTGCACTCCGACTAAAGCTTTTCCCACAGTCTGCACATTTATATGGATTTTCCATTTGATGGGATATCTGATGCATGAGATGGGAGTTTGGACCAAAGCTCTTGCCATATCTGAAGTATTTATGGGGTTTCTCTCCCACGCAAGGTCTCTGATGACTTAGGACTTTACCTGAACTCTTCTCTGGGAGTGTCAGTTTTCCTCTTTTCTCCTCTGTGGTCTTTTCCCATTGTCTTCCTGATCTACATTTGCTCTCACTGCTTCTACCTTGATGTAGACGACGGGGAATTTTCCTTTCAGACCTTGCAAGTAATGTTCTGTGCAGTTGTACTTCCTCAGAAATATCCCGTTTTAGATTCTCTTCATTCTGAAATCCAGCCTCAAAACCTGATATAAAATAGAATGTTTAATATGCTAGGGCAAAGCAAACCCAAGAAAAACATGTATTACATTAGTCAATTAAAGATAAAAATTAGGCAGCTCTAGATCCCAAATAGCTACCATTGTTAAAGTGACATTGTTTTACTTTTTCTGCTTGTGCTTCTCATCTACCTAGGGGCTAACTAATGGTTTTTTTTTTTTTTTTTAACCTTTCCTGCATACCCAGAATCTTCAGAAAATCTCATTACAGCAATGAAAACTCACTGAGTTTTAGATTAAAGAATCCCTATGTTTATATAGGAAAGACATTTTCAAATGCTGTATTTTTGCCACCTCTCAGGCTTGTCATGGTTTTCTTATTCATGTTCTTTGCCAGTAACTATGGGGATTATAAAGAAATGCCCAGGAAAACTTTTTGGAAACTTTGTATCAAGAAAATTTGATGAGTCCCATTCCCCTTCCAAGTTCCAATGTTATTGGGAAAGTCATGACATATTTTTTTTTCCTATGCAAAAATGCACCATGACTTAGTTCTGATTACCCAATATGTTGGAAATAAGAACAGGGTAGAAAAATACTTAGTGTCGAAAAAGAAAAGAAAATGAAAAATACTTAGTGTCCTTCAAAGAAAAGGCCTTCTGAGAGATAAACTTCCCTTTGCCCATTGAAAAATAATCACTAAAAATTCCAAAAGCACCTACTTTAATGCCTAAGTTCTGCTAAGCAACTTTTTAATGCTCTAAGAACCAAATACCAGGCTGGGATCATGCTGACAATTTGCACTTACCCAGATGTTTCAGGTAAACTCTGAATCCCAAATTCCTTAGCCTAAATCTTTTCTTTTAAGAATTGTTTAAATTTATTTTAATTTGACCAGAGAGGGGGCAGAGTGAGAGAGAGAGTTGAAAGAGA